AATTAATTATTCTATAAGCAATAATGCGCTTTTGCATTATCTATTCCTCATCAATCCAATGAGTGGTAACAGTAAGATAATCACAGTCATTACCACTTCTACCAATATCAGTAGTAATAGCAACGCAAAAATTTATGAGTAAATAAATAGCACAAATATTATTCATATTCATATTTATATTTATAAATATCTCTCTTTACGGTTGTGCGAGGCCACTTTTATAAGTAGGATTAAAAACTCTTCTAATATAATGCACAAAGTGAGGGTTAGAAGGAAAACTATAGGGTAAGCACATAACAGTAACCATTTTTGCCAATTCTTCACGATCTTTATTTGGATCGTAATATAAAATGCCACCGGTAACAGTGTTAATTCCCGGTTGAACTAGATTTGACCCGGTACTAAGGTTAACCTGAGTACCTACACTTGTCCCCTCTTGCGCAGCTTTCATTTGAAGAAATCTAGCTTTATCTTTAGGGTGTGTCTTTATGTGTCTAGTCAAACTACCCGTACCGCTACGGTCTCCAGTAAATTTATGAGCCATCAAAGTCCCACAAGTTTTACACTTAGCCTTATTTTGATCTCTTAGTTGAATAAAAAAGTGCCAAACAAGAGATGTTTCGCACCGTGTAGAAGGTTGTCTATTAAAGTAGGGGTTACTACAGGAGGGTCAGGCGGGACATCATTTGGATTATTATCAGTTGGGTTAACAACAGGACTAGTAGGTGTATCATCTAAATTCGGTTGCGTTTCATCTAAATCATCATTTTCCTCATCATTTTTATCGATAGTTGGATTACCATAAAGAGTATTCATCATTTAATTGTTGATCTGGTGCAATATCATGGTAAAATTGACTATCGGTAAATTGAAAACAAGGGTTATCACTATCAAGAATAACAGGTGGAGGAGGACGGGTAACAGGTCTGGGTCGGGGAGCCGGGGGAGGAGTAGTAGCTTGACTACTAGATTCACCAATTTTAGATTTTCCCTTACCACCAAATATTTTTTTCAAAGAAAAGGCCATATTAATTATAATTGTACCAACTAAAACAAACAAAACTATAATATTAAAACTTAAGAGTTGGAACGAGTTTACCGAATTGATGAACAATTTTTTGAAAATTGTATATCGTTGAAGACTTGAAGACTCGAATACTTCAATTCACCAACTTCACAATTTTTCACAAATTGCAATAATAAAGTAAGCAATTATAGAAGAAAATTAGAGAGAGATTGAGAGAGATTGATGATTTTGTGAGTAAAAATAAAAGAATGAGGGGGTATTTATAGTTGAGAATAGGGAAAAGTGTAATTATAAAAAATTTGGGGTTAAAACAAAGCTTGGGGGGCAAATGGCTATTTTTTAAAAAGCCAAACGCCTAAATTGGCAGGCCAACGGCTAGTTTTTAAAATTCCAACCATTGGCCAATTTTAATTTTTTTTTTTTTTTTTGAAAAATACCGTTGGGCTCAGTTGAACCGGCCAGGCCCGCCAGCCGGTCCCGGGCTAAACGGCCCCGGGCTCGCGGTCTCTCCATGCTGGACCGGCCCACAGTGGGCTCCTAGGACCGCTTAGGCCCGGACCATACGGGGCAACCCGTTTAGCCCAAAGCCCATGTGGGCTCGCGGGCCTGGGCCTGGGCCGGGCCCGGACTGGGCTCGGACCACAATACAGCCTTAGGTCCTTACCATACTGCAACTTATTCTGGGGCTAGATACTTCCTTACTATTGTCGATGATTATATAATAGCCACTTGGACACACCTCATGGGATCTAAAAGTAATGCCTTTACCTTAATAAAAGCTTTTGTTGCAATGGTCCAAACTCACTTTCACACTACAATCCAGACAATTAGAAGCGATAATGCTCTAGAGTTGGGGTCTAGTTCCTTTGCATCATTGTTTTTTTTAGAACATGGAAACATACATCAAACAAGTTGCCCTTACACCCCTCAACAAAATGGGGTAGTTGAAAGAAAATATAGATCCCTTCTTGAAGCTTCTAGAGCATTGATGTTCCAGCCCAAAGTACCTATGCATTTTTGGGGTGATTGCTTGTTAACTGCCACTTATATCATTAACCGATTACCCTCTAAACTTTTAAATGACAAATCCCCTTTTGAAATGTTGTATGGTAAGGTGCCCATTTACTCTCATTTGCGATCTTTCGGTTGTTTATGTTATGCCACAGTTCCTATACCTCATAGAGATAAATTTAAATCAAGGGATATTCCTTGTGCTTTTCTTGGATATCCTTTTGCCAAGAAAGGATACAAGTTATACAACCTGGCCACTAAGAAGTGTTTTGTTTCAAGGGATGTAGTGTTCCATGAAAATTATTTCCCTTTTTCCAAGTCACCTAATGTTCCTGTTTCTTTTCCTTCTCCATCTCCATCTTCTGTGTTGTCTTCTGATCCTTCCTTTGCCTCTTCCCCTCTAACTGTTGCTACTGATCCTGTTTTTCTTCATGATTCCTCTTCACTTTCTCCTGCCAGTTCTCCTATTCAGTCCCCTGCTTCCTCTTCCTTGAGTCCTACTGTCAGTTCTCCTATGCCATCTTCTACTCCACCTTCTTTGCTTTCTCTTGCTAGTTCTCATACTCAGTCTGCTTCCCCTTTATCTCTAAGGAGGTCCGCTAGGGATCATAATCCTCCTGCATATTTGAAAGACTATCAATGTACTTTTCCTTCATCTCTTTCTTGTTCCACTTCTATTCTTAAGCATGCTGAATTTGAACCTAGTACCTATTCTCAGACAGCCTCTATTCCAGCTTGGTAGGATGCCATGAGAAAGGAGTTTGAGGCTTTAGAAGCTAATCACACTTGGGATATGGTAGAGTTACCTAAAGGCAAGAAACCTATTGGATGTAAATGAGTTTATAAGGTGAAATACAAGGCTGATGGTAATGTAGAGAGGTATAAGGCCAGACTTGTAATTAGGGGTGATACACAAGTGGAAGGTGTTGATTTTAATGAGACTTTTTTCCCTGTTGTGAAGTTTTCCACCATAAAATGTTTAATAGCAGTTGCTATTAAAAGACAATGACCCTTGTTTCAATTAGATGTTAATAATGCTTTCCTCCATGGTGATTTAGATGAGGAAGTCTATATGAAATTACCTCATGGTCTTTCAGTTTCTGGTTGTTCTTCTTCTGCTCCTCTAGTGTGCAAATTACAAAAGTCTCTTTATGGTCTTCGGCAGGCATCGAGACAGTAGTATGCCAAGTTATCTCAAGCCTTATGTTCTAAGGTTCTCTTCCTCTGTCAATGATTACTCTCTTTTTGTTAAGGGTTCTCCTGGTTCTTTGACTATATTAGCTGTCTATGTTGATGATATAATACTAACAGGGGATAATGCAACTAATATTCTTGATTTGAAATAATTTTTAGATACTCAGTTCAGAATCAAAGATCTGGGTACTTTGCACTACTTTTTGGGCATTGAGGTTTCTTATTTTGCCTCTGGTGTTCTTTTGAATCAAAAAAAGTTTGTTTCTGATTTGTTATCAGAATACCATTGTTCAGATGTTTCTTCTGTGGTGTGCCCTCTCGAACTTCATGATAAATTGTCGGCCCATTCTTGTGATATTTTGGACAATCCTGAGACTTATAGGAGTTTGATTGGTAAGTTGTTGTTTCTCACACACACTAGACCTGATATTTGCTTTGTAGTCCAACATCTTAGCCAGTTTTTAAAGTGTCCTCGGTCACCTCATATGTCTGCTGCTTTACACATTTTGAGGTATCTTAAGGGTACTTTTGATGTTGGCTTATTCTACTCCAATTCTCCTGATCTCAAAGTGACTGCCTACAGTGATAGTGATTGGGCTGCTTGTATTGATACCGGACGCTCTGTCACTGGGTTTTGTATTTTTTTGGGTGATAGTTTAGTTAGCTGGAAGTCTAAGAAGCAGCCTATTGTGTCTCTTTCTTCGGTTGAGGCTGAATACCGAGCTATCAGTAAAGTTGTGGCGGAACTGACTTGGCTGGTCCGGATTTTCTCTGATTTGCCCGTTCATGTTTCCCTTCCTATCTCTGTGTTTTATGATAATCAGGCCGCTATTCACATTGCCAAGAATCTGGTTTTTCATGAGCGTACCAAGCACATAGAGGTGGATTGTCACTTTATTCGGGCTAAGTTAGGTGAATGACTGATTTGTTTGTCTCATGTCTCTACTCTTAAACAGTTGGCTGATGTCCTCACCAAGCCATTAACTGGGCAGCTTCATCATCAGTTTCTCTCCAAGTTGCAGGTGGTTTCCCCCTCCAACTTGAGGGGGGGGGGGGGGAGGGGGGTTGTTGTTGGACTTGAAGGCTATTTGGCATCTGGGCCTCGGCAGAAATAGGCCCAGTTGTGTATAAGTTAATTGTATAGGCTTTTGTTTTGTTAAGTTTTGGTTTATATTTTTCCGGGTTCAAGACATTTTGGCCCAATGTATATATAATATAGTTTGTACACATTTGGACGATTTTGCCATTCGAATATACAGAAAATCTGAAGCTTCTCTTTCTCTCTCATTTTGTTCTCATGAACCCTAGTTAGATTTTCATGGCGATTTGACTTATCTTCAAAGTTATCAAGTGTTCAGAGTGTCAAGTGCTTTAAATTAACTATTTTTAAGGCATATACAAGATTTTTGGCGAAGCTTACGAGGTCCGGTGACTCCTCACTGTAACACATAAGTCCGCCTCTGATCGCAACATATGGAGGGAGTGCCTTGTATTACGCGGGTACTTTAATTAATTGTGTAAAACAAATTTAAGCAAAAATAACAACGGTCATGCCAATAATTAACACCTTCAAAAAAATATTTCTCTTTAACCAGAATTATGAATATATGGGTAGGGTTAAATCTATGTTTGTGAATGTAAATAAGAGAAAAATAATCGTTTTTCCATTAGTTGAATTATGGGTACTCCAACTTTTTCGGGAATATTTGGTGATTTAAGACACCCCTTTCATTCTTTTTCAATGTCCTATCTATTATTTTTGCCACTGGTAATAATAAAAAATCTGCCATAGTCTTTTTCATTTTTTCTCCCTCTCTAAAAAACCGTCATTGATTCCATTTTTCATTCGTGTAATTACCTTTCTTTTGTCTTTTTTTTTTCTATTATCGATGATTCCATGTCCAAGGATCCTATGTTCTATTTTCATTATTTTTAATGTCTTTCTTTCTGTTGTGTTGGGAAGGGGAGCTTTGGAGCAACGATAAAGTTGTCTCTGTGTGACCTATAGATCACAAGTTCAAGCCGTGGAATCAGCCACTGGGTGGGCCCTTCCCCAAACCATGCATGAATGCAGATGTTTCGTGCATCGGGCTGCCATCTTTCTTTCATTGTATTGGTTTTTAAGGGCTTGAACATTCACCTAATGTTACACGATACTTAACTACATTATCTAGATTTTATTGTTCTTGTTCCCTTTTGTTGCTAATTTGCCTTTTTGAGTTGGCAATTTTCATGTTTTAAATATGTCTTTGAATGAATGAAATCTTCATTTTAAAGATCAATTGTTATGTCTTTCATATTGTTATTCTCTGACTTCAGTTTTTTTTTTTTGAGTTGTAGGAATTCAACAAAAGAGTAATATACTAAATTGTATATATTTTTAAGCTATCTATATTATCGCAGCTTGTGAATTGCAATGATGAGTGGCAACATGTCAGGACCTCTAGACCGACCATTCAGGCCAAGTAAGTTTTCCAACCTCTGTATACAATTCCTTCATTCGTCCCATTAATTTGATATTGAATTTGGTTTTGGTTGATTTATTTTGAAAGCAGTTTCTTTTTTCTATTGTTTTTGTTGAGAAAATATTTGGGTTATGGATTGTTTTACAAAGCAAGTACTAGTTACTTTGAAAAACAACATAACACTAGAGGTTTTTTGCAAAAGCTTATAAAATCAAATGAGATTGATTATCATTGAGTTAAAGAACTTGTATCTTATAGGAAAGAGATGAGCAAATTATCATGTCTAAGAATATATATATAACGACGATAACAACAAATCCAGCGAAATTCTACAAGTGTGGTATGGGAATGGTAGTGTATACGTAGACAGTATTCCTACCTTGAGAAGGTAGAGAGGTCGTTTCCAATATACCTTCGGCTCAAGGGAATGTCTAACAATATATAGTAGCAGTAAATTTTAAAAAATCTTTTGTTCTTTTAAAGATGTGCAGAGAGAGGTTGTTTCCAATATACCTTCGGCTCTTTTGACAGGTCTAGAAAAGATTGACTTTGAAAACCCGGAGCATGAAAGAAAGACAAGGCTTGGGTCTCTCAAGAAGAAGGCAGTTAATGCCTCTTCCAAATTTAGACATTCTTTTACAAAAAAAGGCCGAAGAAATAGCAGAGTCATGTCTGTTGTTTTTGAGGATGAACATGACGCAGAGGAAATAAAGGCAGTTGATGCATTCCGTCAAGCACTTATCTTGGAGGAATTGCTTCCTGCAAAGCACGACGATTATCATAAAATGCTAAGGTGATTAAAGCTATTTTTTATGACAAATATTTATATACTGTATTTGTTATCGTATCCTGGTTATAAGTTCTTGATGCCAAGGGTTGTTTCTTACATTCGCAATGAAACAGATTTTTGAAGGCCAGAAAATTTGATATTGAAAAATCAAAGCAAATGTGGGCTGATATGCTCAAGTGGAGGAGCGAATTCGGTGCAGACACTATCATAGAGGTAGATTTCAAAAATGCTATGTGTAGAAAACGTAAACGAACATTTTTGAGTGACTGAGATATTGTACATCTTTATTAGGATTTCGAGTTCAAGGAAAAGGAAGAAGTCCTTAAGTATTATCCACAAGGGCATCATGGAGTTGACAAGGAAGGAAGACCAGTTTATATTGAAAGAATTGGTCAAGTAGATTCCGTCAAGCTCTTGCAAGTTACAACGATGGATCGCTATCTCAAGTACCATGTCCAGGAGTTCGAGAGGACCCTCAATGACAAGATGCCTGCATGTTCTATTGCAGCCAAAAAACACATCGACACAAGCACAACTATTCTTGATGTACAAGGAGTGGTATGTTGGAGTCCTAAAAATATTAAATTAACGTGAGATGTACCTGTCGTTAGAATGTCACTATATGAAATCATGGCGCAGGGACTGAAGAGCTTTAACAAATCAGCAAGGGAACTCATTCAATGCCTTCAAACTATTGATGGTAACAATTATCCTGAGGTATTCGTTTCTCTCTCAACTAGCTTAAGCCATTAATCTGGCCCTCTCTTTTAGATTGTCGTTTTTATGTTGATGATTTTTTGAGTTTCTTTGCTTACTTGAAGTTTTAATTGTTGTTTAGAGCTTGTGCCGTATGTACATCATCAATGCTGGTTCTGGATTCAGGCTCTTGTGGAACTCTGTCAAGTCATTCCTCGACCCTAAGACAACTGCAAAGATTCATGTAAGCTCATATTCATCTTCCCACTTAGATGTATTAATTCAGTATATTTCACTGGAATAACAAATTAATCGCTCGTTCTTTTAGGTTCTTGGTAATAAATATCAGAGCAAGTTGCTTGAAGTAATTGATGCCAGGTAAGTTTAAGTGGAGTTAAATATTTTCTCTCGTTTCCTAAGCTTGTAGCATGACTTGTTCATTACTATTCTTGAGCAATAATATCTACTAGAAATGAATTGTACATTACAAGGCGACTTTCGTACACAGAGCCTAACGCAATTTGTTTTCACTTCCTTATATCAGTGAGTTGCCAGAGTTCTTAGGTGGTACATGCACTTGTGCTGACAAAGGAGGATGTATGCTTTCTGATAAAGGCCCATGGAATGATCAAGATATAATGAAAGTAAATTTCAACATTGTAATTTGGAAGTTTTTTGAATGTACAACTTCAATTTACATGCCTAAAATCTATGATTAATTTTGTGTCAGATGGTTCGCAATGGCGAACATAAATGTTCAAACAGAATTTTCATCCCAATAGTTGATGAGAAAACAATCTCAGAGGATGCAAATGCTAATCCTAATGTTCAAAGGAATTATGTAGCTCATACTCAGCTCTCCCCTGTCCATGAGGAAGTAAGTCACTTCATCATCTATCAAAAATAAACATATATCCAATTTTTTACTTCGAATATTTTTTTTATAATCATGGTGTCTGAACCAGCTTTCGAATTTTTCATGAATGGGCTTAAGTTCCACTAACATCTGCTTCAAAAAAGAAGCTCGAGCAAATACGAACAAATCAATGTTTCTTTTTTCTTTTTACTGTTTCCTACACCCTTCTTATGGTTACAACAAATCTACAACGAAAATAGAGTTATAGTAAGTTATTTGGTAATACTTTGATACTTAATCCTCATACTTTAAAACCAATTGTACTATGACTTACCAGTTAACCATATTTCTACTTCTCATATTTTCTTTCTTTTATTTGTTTATTTCAAATAGAATAAAATGGAATTGTATTGTAGGTTGGCATGAACAAAAATTATCCTAGTGCATATGACCCCGAAGACTTTATGCCTATTGTGGACAAAGCAGTTGATGTAACTTGGACTAAAGCTAAGGGTAGAAACTCTTCTCTCAATGTCGCAGCAGATGTTTTGCTTACTTAAATAAATCAATTGCTTCATACATATGGCTTCCATTCTATTATTTCTTATAGGTGGAGATTTCTTTCCCATACATGATGCTTCTAAGTCGCCCCAAGGATTTAGCAACCAATTATTCACTGGAGTTATGACCTTAGTAATGGGCATTGTGACATTGGTCAAGATGACCGGAAACATGCCAAGGAAGCTTGCTGATGCTACCCTGCAGGCTCATGGCTACCAGTTAAACGAACCAACTATCTCCGCCAACGACTACTTCAGCATGATGAAGCGCATGGAAGAACTCGAGGAGAAGGTCATTACTCTAAGCAACAAGCCTAATGCCTTACCTCCTGAGAAAGAGGAATTGCTCAACAATGCCATGAAACGCATCGATACTTTGGAGCAAGATCTTTGTGCCACTCACAAGGTACTATTTGTTGTCTTTGATTATCATTTCAAAGACTTGAGAGATTGTATATAATCTGCATTTTATTGTTTTACTGGCAGGCACTTGAGCAAGCTCTGGTCCGTCAAGCGGAACTTCTAGCATACGTAGAGAAGAAGAGGAAGAAGAAGAAGTTCTTGGGACTATTTTGAGTTTTTTTTTAAGGAACATGGAGATGTATTCTTCTTGAGATGGGGCTTTAATTAAAAGGATAGTCAATATGAAACATCCACTGATTAAAATAGGTTTGGCTCATGGAATCATCTGGAGATGAAGATACTGATCATGAAATTAAGAGATTGAGGAGTTTAGAATGTCTGCTCCTGTGATTATCTTAAGAATTAGAAGCAACGGGACAAAAAAAAATGTGAACAAGGAAGAATGGTGTCACTATATTTTGTTTTGGAGCATTGCAGTGAAAAATATCATCAAATTTGCAGAAGGTTTGAATGGAATGGACTAATAGGGGTCTAGACTCTAGAGAAGTTTAGCCCTTGGGCTATATAAATTAACGGATTGAAGTTGTATACGTGTAAATATTTTTTATACTATCAATGTAGTTAAACCGGTTATAGATTACTTATCTTTTTTTCAGGTCTCCAACTCAAGCTCATAATAGATTTATTGTGTACTTTCAACTAACTTGATTATATAAAGATTATAATGTCCACATAAAAAGTTTAAACTCCACATTACTTTGTAATGGTAGTTTAGTCGGCAACCAATGACTTGTTTTATGATGGAAAGTTAGATCGGAATGATTGGTAATATTATAATCTTCTAAAGGTTCATATGACAATAAAACTTACTTAAAGAGTAACATTTTTATTTTCTCTTCCAAATATTTTAACCATCATCAAGTGAGTTGAATTTATATGAGCCTAGCACTTTGACTTGGAACCTAATCGCGCCTAATCGGCCACTTAGAACCTACCCATGCCTAGCAGGGCCACTTGTAAATATTATTCACGCATAACATACCACTTAAAATCTACCTACACCTAGCACGGTCACTTGGAATCTATCTCCACCTAGCATAATCATTTGGAACTTACTCGTGCCTAGCACAGTCATTTTGTATCTACCTGCGCCTAGCATGATCACTTGTAACCTACCCTTACCTAGCACAACCACCAGTTGAACTCGTAAGCTACTCATCCGCCCATTCTAAGTAGGGGTTTCACTACTAGAATTTGTCTAAAACCGAGCGCGGCAAACTGATAAACTTTGGTCGGTATTTTAAAATATTTTATTTTTCAAATTCTTTTTTACAAAACAGACCACCTTCCGTCGGTTTTTTTGGCGCAAATATGTGGGAAGCTATTTTGGCATCTTGCGAAATTTATTTTTTTAAGAAACCGACCAACTTTGGTCGATTTTTTATATAAAATAAATTAAAATTAATATTCAAAAAGTCTTCCGAAATCGATCGGTTACTTCAGTCGGTCATTTTAACAAACCTACCGATTTCAGTTGGTAATTTTATATTCTTAATACCAATCGAAATCGGTCGGTTATTTTCGCGCGAAAATGAAATTAAAGAACAACAACAACAAATAACAAACCCAGTAGTTTCCACAAGTGGGATATGGGAAGGGTAAGATGTACGCAGCCTTACCCCTACCCTTGGAAGGGCAGAGAGGTTATTTCCGATAGACCCTCAACTAGAGAACGACCGAAAAAGAAAAGGTAATTACAACAAGTAGGAATAACAACAAGATGAAATAAGATCGAATCCAAGAATGCCGTCAAACTCTAAGTAGTAATAGCCATTTATGAATAAAAGATATCATACAAACAGTAATGCTAGTGAACTAAGTAAGGCAAAGAGAAACGCTCGACTACCTCTCGACTACCTATGAATCTTCTACCGTAATCTTTGACCTTCAAATGTACAAATAAAATAAAAGATAGTCTTAACCAAAATGTACCAATGGTCTAGTGGTAGAATGTATCATGTCACAGTACGACCCCGGTTCGATTTTCAGACGGTGCATTTTTTAATTGCATAATTAATATACCGACCGACTTCGGTCCAGTTTTTCGGCAGATTTATTCTTTTTTGGTCGCTTGTGAATTTATTGACATGCGACCGATTTCGATCGCTATTTATTACCGACTAGCCTAATTTCGACGAATTAAAGTCGGTCAGAAATCGGTCAATCTTTTCAGTTTTTCGAACGATTCGATTGATATTTCTAGACGAATTTAGAAGTTTTCTAGCAGTGTTTGAGGAAACAAATGGTTATGTGACAATTTCTTAATTAGCAAGGAAGAGATTGTTTGAGCAAAAAAGCATAAGACCTTTTTTGTTATACTAATTAAATAAGAAGATGGAGGGTAAATCCTAGTTAAGGATAATTAATTCTAGATCCGAGATGAATAATATAAATAGAAAAATATAGCTGAGTATGAATGCTGACGGTGATTACGGCTAGACTTAATAGCACAAAGAAAGATGCATTAAGTAACATTAAATGGCAATAAAATATAAATAAAGGAAAAGATTCACCCAATCTTGAGTGAGACGGATCCTCTTTCATTTGATAAAGATGAATGATAAACAAATACAAGAACCTTAGGACCCTTTTTGGATCTGATGAAGGTCTGAGATCACAGATCCTCTAATCTCTTTAGAGAGGAATGTTTACATATTTTCCAGAGAGAGAGAGGGAGAGAGAGAGAGCCCCCTTTTCGGGAGGTCCTCTCTTCCTATTTATAAGGGGTATTCCTAGAAAACCCTTAAAAAAGTACAATTAGAGGGAATATTCAGTAGAATATTCGTTTTGAGGATTCCAAAGCAAACTAGATGTTTCATCCCTGTCCGACCTCGGCCTTATTGATGACTGTCCGACCTCGGCCTTATTGATGACTGTCCGACCTTGGCCTGCCTGACCTTGGCCTTATTGATGACTGTCCGACCTTGGCCTGCCCGACCTCGACCCTATTGATGACTGTCCGACCTCGCCCTGTCCGACCTCGACCTTATTGATGACTGTCCGACCTCGGCATGTCCGACCTCGGCCTTATTGATGACTGTCCGACCTCGGCCTTATTGATGACTGTCCGACCTTGGCCTGCCCGACCTCGACCTTATTGATGACTGTCCGACTCGCCCAATTGTCTCCGCATGTCGAATTTTTCTAATTTGATTTTGACCCATACAGTTAGTCCCTCCGCTTATCGAGGTCATCTTTTGGTCGAGCTCGGTGAGCGAACTTCATTAATCGTAGTTCGAGAAATTTGGATGGGGAGGTTGACTGGTGTGGATCGCAGCTGAGGGTGCCGCTCTTCGGGTCAAAAGTGGTATCCCCGCGCACTTATCCAACACCAGAGATGGAAACTGCAGCATATGATGTTGCTGCTTTGGCATTAAAAGGTCTTGATACCCCATTGAACTTCCCGGACTCAATGTGTTCATATACTATGCCAGCTTCCCTAACAGCAGCAGACATACGCGCCGCAGCTGAAGTTGGAGATGAAGGAGCAATGGGGCAAGAGTTTTTTTATGAAGAGGAAATGTTTGGCATGCCAAGATTGTTGGTTGACATGGTAGAGGCAATACTTATGAGCCCTCCTAGGATGAAGACGACGCCTTACGATGAGTTGCCTGAATATTCTGAAGCATCATATACTCTTTGGAGTTACCTTTAATTATCAATAATCAAACATGTAACATGCATTAGCTTAAAAAAGAGGTATCAATAATCAAGGCAATCTCTTGGTGTGCCATGTACATCAGTTGAATATTGTGACTGCCAAAATTATATAGGTGCGGTTGTGTCATGGACTCAAATTGTAGGCGAGATCAGAATTTGTCTCACTCTCATTTTCTTGTATTCCTAATATAATTCGGATGCTGGCAGTGATTATCGTCTCATTTTCACGTTGCCCTATTCAACTCGAACGAGGTCTAGCTGTGAATCAAGTTCAAGCTAGGTCGAATGAGAGTTAAATTCGAGTGAAGTCGAATGTTAATCCGGACGAGGCCGGATGTTGACTGTCGAATTCTTCTTTTTGGTGGTGGCCCTTGGCCGTAGGGGGTGTTATTTCGAGCTAAGGCCGAAATGTTAACCCGTTGTAATTCGAGCGAGGTCGAATTCTTCTTTTTGGCGATAGCCTTTGGCCGTAAGGGTGTCATTTCGAGCTAAGGCCGAAATGTTAACCCGTTGTAATTCAAGCGAGGTCAAATTCTTCTTTTTGGCAATGGCCTTTGGCCGTAGGGATGTTATTTCGAGCTAAGGCCAAAATGTTAACCCGTTGTAATTCAAGCGAGGTCGAATTCTTCTTTGTGGCGATGGCCTTTGGCCGTAGGGGTGTTATTTCGAGCTAAGGCCGAAATGTTAACCCGTTGTAATTCGAGCGAGGTTGAATCCTTCTTTTTGGCGATGGCCTTTGTCCGTAGGGGTGTTATTTCGAGCTAAGGCCAAAATGTTAACCCGTTGTAATTCGAGCGAGGTGGAATTCTTCTTTTTGGCGATGGCCTTTGGCCGTAGGGGGTGTTATTTCGAGCTAAGGCCGAAATGTTAACCCGTTGTAATTCGAGCGAGGTCGAATTCTTCTTTTTGGCAATGGCCTTTGGCTGAAGGGGTGTTATTTTGAGCTAAGGCCAAAATGTTAACCCGTTGTAATTCGAGCGAGGTCGAATTCTTCTTTTTGGTGATGGCCTTTGGCCGTAGGGGTGTTATTTCAAGCTAAGGCCGAAATGTTAACCCGTTGTTTCACTGCCAGATTTTGGAGGATCGCAGGTCGCCGTACTGTTTGTGCATACGTCGGGGTGAATCCTGGCGTACTCGGCCCTTGTTTTTACAGGAGAATATTGGGTGTTCCCCGGGGGAGTCCTAGTTTTGCTTAGCTTCTGCGTTTCTTTGGTGAGTACCTGTTTGCTTAATTTTGCTTGCACTGGGGAATACGATGCGTTCCCTGGGTGAGTCCCAGTTTGCTTAATTTTGCTTGCATTGGAGAATACGACGCGTTTCCCGGGTGATTGCTCCTGCTTTTATTCCACTTGGAGAAATAGTCAGTTAAAACAAAATGAAAGCGTTCGTTACCTCGATTTGATCGGTCGACGAGTGGAGAGGAGTGACCACGTTCCCTTCTCCGGTTATGCTTTCAGTGGCCGCTACCAATTTGGCGTGGCTGTCCGCTTTAAGTTTTATGTCTACAATTGGGTTTGTTATTGTAGAGGGTATGAAGATTTTATCTTCTGTGGAAGATGAAACATATATTTCTATTGAGTTGAAGAAACTGTAACTTGGCATGGCAGCTCAGATGGGTCTGTGAGATATGGGCAGAGAAGTTCCATTTTTGGTGTTTGTTCTCTATCTCACAAGGCTTACTGATGCTTGCAGCCATGGCAGTTTTCAAAGTTTTATTTTTTTGTAAAGGGTGGTTGCCCCTCTCTGCTATGCCCGTGATTTATCCATTGATACCAAAAAAACCAACAGCCCTTTCAAATAAACAAGAAAAAATAAAAAATAAAATCTTTCATCCAAACACACCCCTGTACTTCTTCGTCTTCCTTTTCTCTTTGTGCTGCTACTACTGATGTTGTAAAGGGACTGTGATGATTGCTTTCATTTCTTGGATATGTTTGATCACGGCATTGAGAAAATACTGACCCGTGTCTTGGCGAGGAGGTACGGTATGGCTTCTTATAGCAAACTGGTGCCTGCAGCCATGGCGGCATCGCCTTCTCTTTTGCTTAGTTCAAATACGCCAAATCTGAGCCCTCAATACCCAATTCATCTTCTTCAATGGTGAGTCATTATTCTCTTTTAAGAGAGATTTTAACCAAAAGACTTTTGTAAGTCCCATTTTAAGACCGTAACCCGAGACTTTTTAACCAAAAGGACCATGTAATTCTTGATTTAAGAAACTATCTCGTACGTCTCTCTTTTTTCTCCTCTCTCTCCCTCTGTTTGTTTCATGTGTTGTAATATAACTGTTAGATTGTTATTTCATCAAAGGAGACTTTCTTATTTGTATGCATTGTGTAGTGGAGCAAAGAACATGACTAAGCAGTCATGTGCACAGAATATAAATAAAAAGAACATGAATTGTCACGATTAAGTAGAAAATGTCACTTGATGGTATAAAACAAGAAAAGTACACATTGGGTAGCAAAAATGACTTCTTGAAATCTGGTAGGACGGAAATACAGAAGTTTTTGGCATCATGCAGGAAGACCCAAATGAATGAACATCGTGCATTGCACTTGCTAAGTATGATTTACCACGATTCCTTCTTTCCATATTATGATAGACTGCCGTACTAGGAGATATCTACCATGAACAGAACGTGGAACTAGAATTGAATTCTAGATCTAGAAGAAACTAAAATTTTAACTAGAAAATCTCCACAGACGGCGCCAAATTGTTTGAGCAATAAAGTATGAGACCTTTTTTGCTAAATTAATTAAATAAGAAGATGGAGGGTAACTCCTAGTTAAGGATAATTAATTCTAGATCCGAGATGAAGAATTTGAATAGAAAAACATAGCTGAGTATAAATGCTGGCAGTGATTATGGCCAGATTTAATAGCATAAAGAGAGATGCATTAAGTAACATTAAATGACAATAAAATATAAATAAAGGAGAAGATTCACCCAATCTTGAGCGAGGCGGATCCTCTTTTATTTGATAAAGATGAATGATAGGCAAATACAAGAACCTTAGGACCCTTTTTGGATCTGATGAAGGTATGGGATCACAAATCCTCTAATCTCTTTAGAGAGGTGTGTTTACATATTTCTAGAGAGAGGGAGAGGGAGAGAGAGAGAGAGAGCCCCCCTTTTGGGAAGTCCTCTCTTCCTATTTATAAAGGGTATCCCTAGAAAACCCTAAAAAAGTACAATTAGAGGGAATATTCTACTGAATATTCCCTTTGAGGATTTCAAAGCAAACTAGCTGTTTCATCACTGCCCGACCTCGGCCTATTGATGACTGCCCGACCTCGGCCTGCCCGACCTTGGCCTTATTGATGACTGCCGACCTCGGCCTATTGTCTCTGCATGCCGAATTTCTCTGATCTGATTTTGACCCTACACATTTGTTTTTACTTTTTCTATTACATGGTGGAAGGAAACGGGAAGGGAAAGAGTGCCAGTGAAAATATTCATAAAACTGTTAATCATTCACCACTTGTTCCGCTCACGACCCAAACCAACCCATTATTGGGCAATTCTCTTACAGAGGTACTGTTTAAATGGGTTAGAGTGAGAAATCCTCCACCCTCTCTCTAAAAACAAGATCCTCCCATTACCTTCTTCTTCTTCGCCAAACCCTAAGCCCGTGCTACACAGCACTATCCATGATCCTTCCCCTACCATGAATACCCCAAACCACATGGAGGTCTCAACTGCACCCTCAAGCAGTGATGCTCCATCCCCGCCTAATGCATACCACCAAACGAACTCAAATATGGACGTTACACATCTTTTAGAACATAGGCAGCCCCATAGATATAAACCAACTTTCATGAACATCCTTAACAACAACCTTCAAAATAATAACCTCTGAAACAACATATGTGTCCAAAATGACATAAATGATAACCAAATAATCTCGGATGAAACTGAAAACCCTTTCTTCGAAGAAGAGGCCAATGTCTTCATCCCCATAACCTCTAAGGACAAAGAACGACTGTATAAGAACTGGGAAACAGCCCTTATAGTCAAAGTCTTTAGGAAAAGGGTTGGTTACCAATTCCTCCAAAGGAAATTACAAGCAATATGGAAACCTAGTGAGACTATTTCACTTATTGACCTAGGTTATGACTACTACCTTATAAAATTCAACAAACAAGATAACTATAATAAAGCACTTCATGAGGGACCTTGGTTCATAGGAAATCAATTCCTCACTGTTAGGAAATGGGAACCTAGATTTGTGGCATCGGAAGCTTCACTAAACTACTCGGCCATTTGGGCTAGATTACCTGAGCTCCCTACGGAGTTTTACGACTATGACATTCTTCAAAAAATAGGGAATAAACTAGGTGAACTCATACATATAGACGCCTGCACCTCCTCAGCAGTTAGAGGGAAATATGCTAGGCTCTGCATACTAGTACCAATCGAGAAACCGCTAAAGACTCATATTGTGCTAGGAAAACACTACCAAAAGATTGCATACGAAGGATTTAATGTCTTATGCACCAACTGTGGATGCCTAGGCCACAACCTATTATATTGTCCAAACAAGAAAATAGAACCCCAAAACAAAAAATCTACAAACAGCCATAACAAAAGGACCACCCAGGACATTGACTCCATCACCACAAAAGTGGAAAACTGGACCATTGTCTCTCATCAAAGAAGGAAAACAAAGCAAGAGCTGGAGAAATCTAGCTCCTGGAAACCCAACGATTCTCAGCACCTCACCATTGAGAAGCACAAACAACAAGGAACAGGAGAAATTCTTGACAAGCTTTGCCCAGGAGACAATTCAAGCAAAATACCCACTGGACAAAAGGATACCTCTCCCACAGACAACCCTTTGCACACAAATGGTAAAGACCAATCTCCCTCAAAGACCCCAAACCAGTACAAGCCTAACCCTTTGACAAAAGCCCTAGACGTGAGCCACCCTACAAAGGGTATAGGGCACCATGATACCCTAGTCCAAAACGTAAGAAAACCAACGGACAAAGA